GACAACTCCGTGTGATAAAAATATCATTGCTCTCTTAATGCAATGCAGACCCAGTCAAATACTAATAGGATTTTTCAAAGTGAAGTTTGACAAATTGTTTTTGAAAAGTCACATGGAAATGCAAAGGAGGCATGTTCAGACATTCTTGGAAAAGGAGAGCATTGTAGCAGGACTTGTTCTACTGAATATTCTTATTATAAAGCTATTTAAGATAGTATGTAGCTGATGTAAGGATATAAGAATAGACCAATGGAATAAGTAAAGAGTTTATTAAAAGGCCAGAAGTATAGTGGTCCTTAGTTTATGAGGAGAGATTAGGGGAAAGGAGGAAAAGACAGTATTTTCAATAATAATGATAATGGAAAAATTAGATATTCACACAGAAAGAAAATACAACTTAATTCCTATCTCATACCATACACAAAACTAATTATAGACATAAATGTAAATGATAAAACACTACTGATTTACGAGGTCTGCTCGAAGGTATCCAGCTATGCAATATGAAAAATAAAGACATTTATTGAAGAAAATACAAGATACAAGAAATATTGTATATAGGACAATGACATCTCAGTTCCCTTCAAAGTAGGCACCTTGGGACCTCACATAGTTTTCCCAATTACCATCAGCTGCCCCCTCATATTTTCCTGAATTTCATTGATAGTCTGAAATCTCTTTCCTTTCCAAGGTGATGTTAGTTTTGGGAAAAGCCAGAAGTCACAGGGTGCCAAATCTGGGCTGTAGGGCAGCTGAGTCACTGGGGCGTTTTGCCAAAAAACTCTTTGTGAGGAGACATAGTGCATGAGTGGGCTCGTTGTCATGATGAAGCTGTCAATCACCAGCTGCCCGTATCTGTGGCCTTCTGAATTATCCAAACAGCTTCCTCCGAGGAATGTTCAAACAACGCAAAATTGGATACAAATTTGTTGCTTTACTCACTCAGTCATTTTTAATGTGACAGCCCCACAATACACATGCTTGCTCTCTGGTGTCTACCACCCCTACTAACTAGTACAGAGAAGTTGTCATTGTTCATGCATGCACTTTCCAGTCCACTCTCCCTGGCTGTCAGGTTACATGGACGTCATGCAAACTATTCTCATTCTATTAACAATGGCTGGACTTCTTCTGGACAGACGTCATGGAGTGCTGTAAAGATTCAAATGTCTGCTATTGTTCCTCAAAACTGAATAGTGAAGATCATGCACAGGAGATGTATCTCCAAATGACTTCAGGAAAACTAAAACATAACTCTTCACTCCTTTCCACAATAAATCATGGAGAAATCATTCAACAGGACTGAGTCGTGATCAGACTGGATCAGAGTTCTGGAGTGTTTGAGGGGAGTGGCCCTAAAAGCAAGGAAGTTGAAGAAGCCCCAGCAAGATTTGAGGTGTTTGAAACTTATACCAATATTGTTAGTTTGGGAATGGAAAGAAAGGGACAAATCAGTAAGACATGTCAATAGGGCTTGACAGGTGGTTTGATATTATGGGCAAAGTGAGAAAAAGAAAATGATCCAGAGGTTTTGAGTCTTAATAATATCACTAACAAGGATAGAAAATCAGGAAGACGAGCTGTTTGAGAGAGACAATTATTGAATTTGAAATGATGATGGCACATCCAAAGAGAAATGCCCAAACGAATGGTTGAAGTAATTTATTGGAAGTGAAGCAAGGGGCCAGGACTATAATGATGGATTAGGACGTCAGTAGCGTCTGCAGATAAACGACACATGACTACTCGCTGTCTGTCCCAACTTTCTTACCCCTGTTCATTGAGTTATAACTGGTGTCATCTGCATAAGCAAATCACTAGGCTGATTTTGAAATGGAGGGGAAAGGACAAGTGCTGATGTTAGCAGAAATTGATACCTGCTGAGGGCTGACTGTGAGTAACTCTTAAGTCACATGGTATATAGGAAAATTTTGAACAAACTCTGTCTTAAGACCTTTCAGATAAAGGGATGTTTCAGTAGACTTGAAAAGCCACTCCATTATTTCACTAACATAGAATCTGCCAGGTACTTCCTCCATCAGTTAAGTTAACCCTCACTCAGTAGAATAATAGCGAGGTATGACGTCACACCTGAAGACCAAATCTACTTCCTCAGTTGGGCTAAGGGAGTACACCTTGTGCAGAAGAAAATCCTCTTCATAACTCCTCTTTTCCTATTCTCTCCAGTAACAGAATAAGGCACCAGATAAAAATATTCATGGCCATGGGTGATGGATGTCATTGTCCACCATCCCTCTAATAGACAACAACTGTGTGCAAAAAAAAAAAAAAAGTTATTCTTTAATAGAATAAGTGTAGATTTTGGAGGAGTAAATCAGCATGAATGAATATTTACTTAACACATTATTGTTTAAAAACAGTTTTTTCAAAGCTTTCTCATTGAGCTATAAAAGTTTATGATAGCCTACAATTGGGCATCCATGCTAAGTGCTCAGAGGTTAACTTGAATAAAATTTAGGAGAGTTGGGCTACAGTTGCAAATTCTCTTTCCCCTACTCCTGTGAAATCAATTTTTTTAATTCTCTTTGTAAGAATTCTTCTTTTCACATAACTCCTTGCTAATAGTCCCTGATTAAACTACCTATTTGACCTTGGGGCCCTATTTAAGAGAATTTTAGAGGGGAAAAAAGGACTTCGGGAAAAGAAGACATCAAATGTGTAGTGTCCCCCACATAGCAATAAACAGTTTTTATAGATGGGCAAAAATGAAGCAAAAGTGATATGCACTTTACAACTGTAGATTATACATTATCACTCCATTTTTATGCCAGAAATGCTCTGTTTCATTAAAATTTGGATTTGGTTTGATTTCAGAGCCCCTGTCGATAATCAATGGGCTACTAAAGAGATATGAGGGGGATGTGAATGGTCTCTCTGTGCAAGTCACAACTTTAGACTCATCCTCCACTACAGGAAGTGTCAGAGAACTTGTGTGCTTCAAAGATTATCTTTATCATTGACTCCCAAGAGAAGATGTTTTTCGGATGCCAGTAGAGAAAATGCAATGAAATAAGACAAACAGGAGTGAAGTTATGGGGCCAAACTCACCTGAGTTAGAAACACAAATCATTGTCCTTACTAACAAAACCTAAATTTTATGGCCAGTTTATGATAGTGATAAAGGCCCCAGTGATGTGATTGAGCACCATAGCCTTTACTTTTCTAAGCTATTCTGTGAAATTTGTTTATGGCTCAGAAGAGAGACCAGGCGCTTTTAAGGGAGTTCTCAAACCATACACATGCTTTAATGTACTAATAAATATGTTCCCCTACTCCTGCAATCACTTCTTAGAGAGTCTGCTCTGTCCAGAGTTCTAGAGCACTATCACTCAACATCAACTGATTGGACCCACTAGGGACACACACCTTACATTTGACCAATTAGATTTCCTCTTCCAGGAGCTTGCCACAGGGATCAAACCCTAGGATTAGAGAAACATGGGGCTACGTCTTTCATTTTGGGACAGTTATGGAAATCTGGTCTTCAGGCAGAAGAATGAAATAGATGAGATCATCCTAATTTGAGACTGGCAACAGGAGCAATAAACAACTATTTGGATGTTTAGGTCACAAGCTCAATATAAACCAGCTTTGCCTGTCTTGATTTATATTCTTGATACACTTTATTTTTTCTTTCAATGGTATTTTATTTTTACATCCCCCTACCATGTAAAGAAAGTAGTTTGTAAAGAGAATGAGTATATATGTAAAGTCTGTTTTGGTAAATTTAACATTTGACTTGTAAAAAATTGCATTTCTATGGAAAAAAAGCCCTCTTTAAATAAGATATTTCTGACATGTTTTGATTATAGAACATGTGAACTTTTTACAAAGAAGAGACTGTCACAGATTGTAAGAAAAAAGCAGCTTTGCAGTCATTTCTCTTACTGAATCTTCCGTGTTTATTTGCAATAATTGTCTCTGATGCAATCTTCATTTAATTCCATTGATTTTAGAGAAGGGTGGTTTATTTTTATGAAGACTGTTTTTCTCTCAAAACGCTATTGGATTAAGCTTATTTCCCAAGTTAATAACTTTTATTAAAAATTGCTTTCAAGTGGGTTTTACAGAAACAACCTGAAGGCAGAGATTTATGTTCCATGGCTATAGTCGATGTTCATATTGGGAAACTATGAGGGAAATATGATCAGAAATTGTATTTTCGGCAATCTCTAGCATGGAGAGTGTCCCATTGTCATACAGCAGCAACAAAGCCTAAAAACACTGCGTGTGTTTTGAGCATTTACTATATATCTGAGTTCAAAAACAAATCAAACAACAAAAAGTTATTTCATTACTCCTCGTGATACTCCTGTGAAATACAATGAAATTCTAGGACCATACTTGATTTCATTACCATCCGACCGGCCAACAGGCTTTTAAAACCTTAATAAGTTGGCTCACATATAAGGAGTATGTCAGTATCCTCTAAATAACTTTAAAAGGTCAAAGGAGTTTAGGGGTCCTCACAGCCTCTTAACAACTAACACCATGGTCCTTTCTAGAAACACAAGCAACCCAGTAACTGGGAACTTTACTGAGTGGCCTGGCAAAAATCGCTCAGGGTTCTTCCGTCCCTTCTGTGGTCTCAGACTTTTTACGTGAGTGATCAGAAACATGGATCAAGTTTTCTTCGACTTTCCTTGAACTGACTTTGGAGGCGAAAGGAAGTGAGAGGTAGAATCAAGAAAAGTCAACCTGTTAGGTTAAACTAGGGGGGTTGACACGCTGAAACTAGCGAGAGCGTGAGCCCAGCACCCAAGATCGAGTTGGAGACCCGACACCCCAAGTCTGAGCGCCAGGAGCGTTCTCCCCGCTTCCGGAAGCCCAGAGCCACATTCACACCTCGCCCGTGCCCTACTCGCGGCATCTGGTGTGAACTACATTTCCCAGAATGCCATTCAAACCTCCTCGCGGGGCACCAATGAGCGCCTGGGTGACGCCATCAGCCCGCGCGATGTTTAGACTCCACTGATGTCGTGGCGCTTTAGGGGAAGTTGTTTCGCCGGGCCCTGGTCCTGAAGTCTTGGTCCGCGTGACGCGTGGCCCCTTTTTACCTACCCCTCCGCCCGCCTTTCACCTCCCACTTCTGGCAGGATGAGGCGTGCAGGCCTGGGTAAGGAGAGGGCTGAGGTTCGAATTCGGGGGTCCTGAAACTGGCGGTGCTGGACGCCGGGACGTGGGAGGAAGGCGGACCGGTCAATGTCACTGGAACCTGAGCTAGAAAGCAGAATGTATTGAGGGGGTCTTTGGAGGCGGTGCCAAGTGGAAACACTTCATTTGTCCCAGGTCGTAGGGGTTTCCATAAGTTTGGTTAAGTCCCCAGTTTGGATGGTAAGTTTAGAGAGAGTAGTGGAGGACTTGGGAGTGGAGTATGTGCAGGTGCCAGCTCAGCAGTCAAGTCTGACTGGGCATAATTATGGAAGCTGCTTATTCCCCGAGGCTCGGCTTCGGTTTCTCCCTGCCCTGGCTGTTAGTTTCTTCAGAAGCGAAATTTGGAGTTTTGTATGCGAAGCACACATAATAGTAGTAGAAGTAGTAGTAGTAGTAGCAGTAGTAGTCGTCGTCTGGTAACAGTTACAAAGGTAAATTTACGTGTCACTACTGTTAAAGTCCGTGATATGTAACATCAGGGTCAGAGGCTGGTTTATCCATAGCATTTCTTATCTGAGCCTTGTTCCATTGCTAAAGTAGTAGAATGTGGTAATGCTTGGCGACTTATCATTTGTTCTCGACCTTTTGGCTTAAGAAACATGTTCACCAACCAGCAGGAGTAAGTTAGGCACAAGGACTTTTGCCGGGCAATTATAATGCATAGCTATTAAAACAGCATTTTCTGTTTCTGAAGTTCTCTATTAAGAGACACTTAAAAAAAAAGGGGGGGAAGAAAAGGCGGAAAAAACTTCTTCAAAAGTGTCAGATATAGTTAAAGTCAGTCAAAGTTGCCAGTAACTCTAGACTTGTACATTGGTTAATGAATTGTAGTATGAGAAACAGCTTTTGAAACACACAGTTTTTATGACTACCTGGATTGTAGTAGGAAAGTTGACCAGGTAAATTGTAGAGGAAAAAAAATAACTGATTTTGAGCAAGTTTAGTTTCATATGCCTAAATGTTTTCCCTTTTTATTATTACTAATGACAAAAAACATTTATTGTGTACCTGAGTAAGCTCTAGGTATACAGTCGTTTGTGGCCCTGTTTGTGATCTCCAAAGCTTCCAATCTAGTTGGGGAGTAGGAATACACTCAAAATATAAATTACAGTACAAGGTGGTAGTCATACAGCCAATGCCAGGTAAGTTCTACAGGTAGTGAATGTTTAGGGATTTCAGAGATGGAGTGCTGTGTACTTTGTGGAGACATAGAACCTTAAACTAGAATTTGAAGATAGAGGGGGGAAGGGTGAACCACTGTCCCCACCCCCAAAAAAGTTGTAGGACTAGAATTATGAATGATGTGTTGAAGGTATTATAATGAAGCCAGTTTGATTGAGGTAGGAGCCACGGAACCAGAACTGCCAGGTTGTGGACGTGTTGAGTGCCAAGCTAAGGAGTTTGGATTTTATCAATAGGCCCTTTGGACCCTTTGAATATCTTGTTCAACAGTGTGTCATGATAAATGGCAGGAAAAGGACTTCACAAGTGGTGATTCTCAGTCCTGATCGTACATAAGAATTACCTTGAGAGCTTTTAGGCACTGCTACCCCATCCACCAAGCTCTGACTAAATTAGAATCTTTAGAATAGAGGCTTTTTTTTTTTTACACTACGCTGCAGTTGAGAGGAAAGGTGATGGTCTAGGTGTCTGTTGCTATCATTTACACTGGTGTGATGGAAGGCGGGCTGCTTGGGTTTTTTCTTTTTCTTTTTTTTAAACTGACCTGGAATTGTAAACTTGGGATAAGTAGTGAATCTGATAGCTATTCATGTGGAGAAGCTGTCACACTTCACATGAATCTCTAAATGATTTGGCTAATCTGTTGATAGAAACTGTCCAAAAGAAGTCACATGTGTCTAAATGGACAGAGGCTGAGGATGGTAACTTTGGCACTCAATAGGTTTCCTACAACTTTCGTAGCAGTGATTCATACCAAAAAAGAGTAGCAAAGTTTGGAATAGCAACTTCTAAAATTCTATTTGATTGTTTTCTTTTTTTATTGGGGGTGGGTGATAGTGTCAGGGAAGTTTAAAACTCTTTCACAGAAGAAATGTGTTTTGAAAGATTGCTGGGTGGTAAATGAGAATTCTACTTTTAATAAATGGAACAATATAGAACTTTAAAATCAAGGTAGGCAAAAGAGCGAAACAAAGAAAATAAAACAAATAGCTATTTTAGAAATAAATTCCTTGGTGAAATTGTCAAGTGATTAAATTAAACCAATCAGTAATTATCAGGCAAATGTACATTCAGAACCTTAGTGATAAGACATAAATCTTTTCTTTAAGGACTTTGGTCCTTATTAGAGTTTGTACAGAGTATCATTAATTAATGGAGTGAGAATACACTTTTAAATGATTCTTTTGATTGAATGGGGGGCAGTACCATTCTTAGTCATGACTTCTTCATTTTCATAATGACACATTTGGAGAGCTTTCTGGACAGTGTTTCAGCAGTGGAGGGAAATGGTGGGGAATGCAACTTTCTCTGGAACATACTTGTTTAACATTTTGTGTGTGGGATTTTTTGGGGGGGTAGAGATTGTGTTTATCTCTGTTGCATATAAAGTACTCATTAGGTACAGGGGACATAGAATTATGAAATACTGTCTCTGCCTTCAAAGAAGCTTATAATTCCATTCTTGACAAAGGCAGGCACATTCAAAGCTGAATAACAGTGAATTCAGGTTCTATTCATTAATTCACTTACAAGTATTTACTGAGTGTGCCTTGTTGTATGTGTACATACTCACATGCATGTGGGGGATATATAACCATGAGTGAAACATTTAGTTTCTATCCTTAGAGTGCAGCCCAGAGTGTGATATTAGAGTTATATACAGTCAGAGCTGTAAGGATCCAAAAGAGGGAGTTTTGCTTTTTAGAGGAAATGAGCTCTGGCTGTGCCTTGAAAGAGCCTTCTGTTCACACCTCAACCTGCCTTCAACCACCAGTGCTGACTGCTACTTCCTGTCCTTTCCTCCTCTGCTGGCACTGCCACCCCATCTACCCTTTGAGTTTAGCAGACCTCTGGTTCTATATCCTGCCTTTCCCCGTAGTCTCGGCCCTCCAGTGAAACTACTTCAATCCCTGTCCAGCCTAGTCCCTATAATCCATGTCTTTAGCTGCTCTTCCGGTCAGCAATCTCAGCCCCTTGGGGTTCTGTCCGTCTGCAGCCCAACGCTGTAAACTTCCAACTACTGAGCGATCCAACCATCCTGCTTCTCATGGGCTGACTCAGGCTGATGAGCTCTTTCATACACCTGAGAGCGTTGACACCACGGCTGTATATTCAGCCAGGCTGGTTTTATCCCCCTAGGAACCCGTGCAGTCAATTTCCTCCATTCTTTTTATTGTTTTCACCAGTCTTCAGAGACAGCCTTTTCATTTACTGAAACAATTGGTGGTATCAGTTGTTTTTTTTAATGTGATTAAATAACATCCTAAACTCTACTTTCCTCTCTCATTCCCCCAACACATTTATCTAAGTATTCCCTGTCCAAGGCTCCACCTGTCTGATTGCCTGATGAATGTCAAGTACTGTATTAGGCAGTGGCAGGGACTGCAGTCCTGTGTTCTCAATGCTGACCCGTAGAAGATGAGCTCCAAAAAGGAGCACCTAGAAAGAACCACGGATGCAACACATGGTTTCTTAAATATTTGTTGAAGAATGAATGATCCCCTCTGAACTCGCAGCTATATTCTTCATAAATTGTCCCAGCCCTCTTCTCTGTAAGAGAAGAGAAGCCCATAAAGGACCCTCCCTCTGCCATGAGCTCCCTCTTTCTCCCTTCCTCTTCATAGACACACTTTTTCAGTGGGGCATCAGTGTCACTACTTTTAGATCTTTTTCCAAACGTGTAGTTCTACAGAGAAGCAAATATGTCCTGAACATCCTTGTGCATGAGAGCTTATTTTAGTATGTTGTTGGCAATCGATGCGCAATCAGTAAATGTGTACTGAAATGAACTGGATAGTCTTTACTTAAGAGAGGGCATTGAAGGAATTGTTCTGCTCTCTGTTTAGCTTATTAATTTTTAAAATTCCCCTGAAATATGAGTATTATAGACATATGTAGTCTGCATCGCCCTCCAGGGGTCTTTTTCTGTTCTTTCCTATCAAGGTTTCAAAAGTGGCTTTTTTTTTTGCTACATCTATACTTGCGGCTGATCCTTGCAGGTGAAGGAGTACCTCCTGCCAACTATGGGAACTATGGCTATGCTAATAGCGGATATAGTGCCTGTGAAGAAGAAAACGACAGACTCACGGAAAGTCTGAGACACAAAGTAACTGCTATAAAGTCTGTAAGTATATGACATATTAAGTACTTTTAAATTTGTATATGTATATGCGTATATATTGTATACTTAAAAACTCATATTTTGATTGATACCATACTAAGGAATTCATTTACCCAAATAGTGTAGTTCAGTTAGGTACACTCGAAATTTAGACATGATTTGAATAGAAGTTTTGAAAATGTGGCCAATCAAAACATATGGTACATTTGTTTATCTTTTATAAACTTCAGCTTTTTTGGGAGGGGAGTTAAACCTACAGTACGGCATGTGGTCTGCAATAATGTCTCTGAGCAGCCCGGCCTCCACTGCCGGGGCCCTTCTCCCGACCCTTTCATCTCCTGGCCTCTGAAGCTACAAATCTCTACAAGTCTTTCGTGTTTCTTTTACCTCCCATCAATCACCAAGTCTTAGGCTTCTTTCTTTCTACTGTTTCTATTTTCTGCTTTTCTATTTATAACACTAGTACTATCATCCCCTGGTTTTCTATCTGGGAAGCCTCTTAACCTGTGTGACCCTAATTTTTTACATGTTGTGGTCGGAGCTACATACCGTCACCACAGTCATCTTTTTAGAGTTTCTTTTTTTTAATCCTCACCCAAGCATATGCTTATTGATTTGAGAGAGAGAGAAACATCAATGTGAGAGAGGAACCAATCAGTTGCCTCCCTTGTGCGCCCCAGCTGGGGATCAAACCCACAACCTAGATATGTGCCCTGACTGGGAATCAAACCTGTAACCTTTTGGTATGCTGGCTAATGCTCTAACCAACTGAGCCACTGGCCAGGGCAAGAGAATTTTTTAAATTGCATCCTGCACTCTCAGAAGACTTCACTGTCCTCCCATGATGTAAGAAATAAAGTTCCTACTCTGTGGGTTGATCAGGTAGGTCCCTTAAAGATTGTCCACAGCTTTTGAGACCTTATCTCCTGCATTTTCAGAATGTATGTGTGCTTTCTGCCAGACAAATTAGAGTGCTCTGTCCTGTGCACGCTGCGACTTTCCCAGTCCCCTGTCTTTGAGCATGCCAGCCCTTTGCCTTCGGCGTCCTCCCCCTCCTCACATTGGCAGAAGTCTTGCCCGTCGGAAAGGCCCCACTTCATTGCACCCCTTCCATGCTCCAAGCTTTACCTGATGACCACATTGAAAGCAACTTTTTTCTTACGCATATAAGACCTTTTGTACCATTTCTATAGCACTTATTGTACAGTGATCTACATTGGAATTATTTGTATGTAAAAGAAATTTACCAGAATGTAGGGTTTTCTGTTGTACTTATTTCTATAATCTGCACAGTTCTCAGTATAATTCTTTATCAGTTGTATTGAATTAAATGTATTAAATAAAGGAATAAAAAATGGTTTTAACAGTGTGTATGATTGATTCTGCATTACAATAAAAATGCTATACACTTACAGAGCATTTAGTAGAATTCATATTGCCAAAACCTAATTGATATTTCACTAGTCTTGGAAAACAGAATTGTATTCGGCCTGGAGACTTACATTTGGAAATGAGTATTGTTTTCAAAGTCGTACTAAATCAAAAGAAGTTGATCTATGAAGTAAGCAGTATTGTATAATGTTAATAATTTAGAAAATATAACATTTAGTGGGAATTAAGAATGAAATGATTTTTTTTAAAAACCTCCAATGTTGGTAATTTAAGCTCCTTGTTAGAAAAAAGCTTTTTTTCTTGGAAATTTCTTTCTGCGGCATGAACGTAGAAAGTAGTCAGGTGATTTGGGCAATCAGACTTTATAATTGCTCTATTATCCATATTCTGATCTGTAGAATTCTAGTATGGTTTTGTGTCAGTAATACCCCATATACTTTTCACACAAAATAAGCTGAGAACAGTGTTGAAATGGTTTGCCAAGGTTTTTAGTAGTTGTGATTGTATTTATTCAAGTATCCTGGAAGTAAAGGCTTTGATGAATTTGTCGTATAAGGTACTTAATAGGTTTTGGTTTGAATAGCAGCCATAATTGTAGATTTTTTTAGGCTTTACCTCATTTATATATAACTTTAGAATGTGAATAACACTAACTTGTAAATTTTTTTCAATTATATTTTAAAGAAAAATACCTTTGGAATCTAAAGAAATAATCTAGCCATGTAGTCAAAGTAATATCACATTTCAGTAGGAAAATATTAAATACTTATATCTGAATTTGGAGTCAGACATGCTATCATTGAGCCACGAGGTCGACCTAAGTACTTTAATCTGAATTTGAATTGATAACACAGGCACTTGTATACATCTTTAAAAACATAAAGAAGGAAATATACAGATAAATGCTGTTGTATGAATAATACAAAGAAAGATATACCCCAACCGGAGTGGCTCAGTTGGTTGGGCATTTTCCTGCAAAGTGAAAGGTTGCTGTTCAGTTCCTCATCGGAGCACATGCCTGGGTTGCAGGTTTGGTCCCTGGTCAGGGTGCGTAAAAAGAGTCACCTGATTGATGTTTCCCTCTTTTTCTCCTTCCCACCCCCTCTCTCTAAAAATAAATAAAAAATTTTTTTTAAAAAGATAAAAGCATGCGAAGATAGGAGAATCAGAGAGAAGTATGTACCAAAATGAAAAGGCGGAGTCGAATATTAAGATGAAATCCAAATGAAAAGTTGGGAAGCAGTATTCTTGATGGGGAAGGAGTAGAACTTCTAAATTTATTTTCCATTAATTTTAGTAAAAAAGTATCAGAAGAGTATATTTTCTACTTCTAGAATACAGTTTTATTTGAGAAAATGTATATGTTTAAAATGGCATTATACTTGCTTTATAACACTTAAGTCCTTTATATGAGTAGTTTTATATATACATATATATATGCTTTCTTCTTTATAGCTTTCCATTGAAATAGGCCATGAAGTTAAAACTCAAAATAAATTATTAGCTGAAATGGTAAGTGGGATTTTAACTCTTAAGAAATTTTACCTAATACTTTCAGTCTGTTAGGAGTAATATTGTTTTAACATTTATCCATTTTGAAATAGATCTAGAGATCATAAGGCCTGGATTTCAATCCATAAATATTTAATTGGTTTGGAATAACTACAAAGTTTATTTTTGCCATATTTTACAAATTTCATCTTGCTTAACACAAATAAATCGGAGGAAGAAGTGGAAGCCAATGTAGCTTTAATCCTGTGTTTCTAAACACTTGAAGACTCAAGACAAATGACTATTTTGCGTGTTCTTAGAAATCTGAATGGCTATAGACTACCAAGTAATCAAAAAACAGTATCAGCCAAAGGTCTTGCACTTAATATAAGCCTGTTTCTTTTGCTTGATACCCTAAGGATTACTTCTGAACAAACCAATGAGATTTGAACACAGTAACATCCCAGAGCCTTTTATCTCTAGTTTAAACAATCTCAGCAACATATACCTTTTCTTCTTCAAGCCTCTCTCCATTCTTTAATCTTTACTTTGGATATCAAACTTTTCCAGACTTTCTGCAGTTTTTCCACATGCTTTTAAAATTGTATGATCCAAAAATGAATGTGGCATTGACAGCGATGTTCCCATGCAGGTTGTATGCTAAAATCACATGGGGGACTGGCTGAAAATATCGATGCCTGATTTGCACTCTATACTGATTCAGAATTTCAGGGGGTGAGACCTAGGTATACATATTTTTGAAAAAGCATCCCAAATGATTCTGATACATAACCGTGCTGAAGAGCTATAGATGCATGAAGTGCTTGATCTCCATAGAACCTGAGCTATACTAAGACGTATGGGCCTTCTCATCTCAGGATATTGAGTTTCCTATGAAAGTGCAATATAGCTAATCCATACCTAGTCCTCATCATAAGGGTTTAAACAGCCGTGTTTTAATATGGTAGCTTTCCCCGTCCATATTTGTAGTATTTACCAAGTTTTATCCCTTCTACATGATGGTCTCTTAACTTTTAATAGACTCTACTTCAAAGCCAGCTGTTTAAATTTAAGGATCTTAAAAGTAAAGGTACATTTAACTGCTAAACAACCATATTAAAATTTGGATGAATTGCTGTACCTGAAGTACAACCATTCGGCCTTGGAGAGCATGCCCGACAAAAAAGTGGTTAAGAACCGCTTTCCGGGCAGCTCTGAGCTGGAGGGATCCTGGCCAGGTGGAAGATGTCAGATCTCATTGTCCTCCCAGCCCTTCGACCCTCCCCTGAAGGCCCTCAATAAAATGGTGTGCTCACCCTCTCCCCCAACAAAAAGTGGGAAAACACCTGTATTATAGTAGGCAAACTGCTTACCTTTATTGCTAATGTTTTTTAATCCACATAATTGGAATAAGACCTAAATAGTTTGGGACTTTTAAATTATTCTGGGACTGAAAGAAATGTTTATTGGATAATGAAAGAGCTTTTTATTCATTGAGAGAATTAGTCAGTTTTGCATGGAGTAATCAGGCTGATTATCCAAGTTATAAAAAGGCTCCTGAATTGATTAAACATAAAAATGTCATTAAAAATGTATTCTAATAACAATATATCCAATTACTTAAATGTGCATACATAGAGTATTAGAATCTAAACATTATAATTTGTTTTTCTTTTCATAGGATTCACAATTTGATTCTACAACTGGGTTTCTAGGTAAAACTATGGAAAAGCTGAAGATTTTATCCAGAGGGAGCCAAACAAAGCTAATGTGCTATATGATGCTGTTTTCATTGTTTGTCTTTTTTGTCATTTATTGGATTATTAAACAGAGGTGATGCAAGTAAATGTGAGCTTGGAATTTGTTCCAACTTAAGTGGCTTGGAGTGCTACTGTGGTAAAAAAAAAAAAAATCATCAAAACATTCCTAATTTTCAAATACTATGGCTTTTTCCATTGCAGATGACTGAATTTTACTCATTTTATAAATCAATAAGATGATACAGTGCTCTCTGAATACTGTTTGTTAATGAGTCATTTTTGCCCCATTTTAAGGGGTATTGAGATGGCCGAAAGTCAGTCTGGCCCTAACGATCGTTTTTCTATTGTTTACTGTCAGATTAAATAGCAGTATAATATTCTGTTGCTACCATTCGTGCAGGTTTATTTTTCATGTAAAGAAACTTAGCGGGAGAGTAATAAAATGCCTGGAGAGCCTGATGCCGAGCCCCTGAGGTGGTGAACGGATTTGTGACGGAGCGATAAACGTGTTTTCGTGAACTGACATCAACCCTGATGATATACTCCCCTTTCCTTTTTTATTTGGTTAAATTGTAATTGGGTTTCTTTTTACCTACAATTTTTTCTCATAATTTTTGATGGTGTCACTCCTTCCCCTTTGGCCCAAGGACCTCATTCTTTAATAAAGCTTGTTATTTTGGCATATTTCTAGTACGGTGCAAAACAAATGTGTAATGGTGTAATTGTTATTTTATATTAACTTTATACATACCGTTGACTTGGCTTAAAAGAGTTTTATGATTTTAGCTACTTAAGCCTTTTGATAATCATTTGTGACAGAATAATGTGAAGCTAAAGTAATTGCTAAGCTCTGAATGGACATAACATGTTCAAGAAAATGAATTGCCTCTGCTTTATTATGTGCTTAAAATAGATAATTGAAAGTACTCAGCATTGAACTTGGGGTTAAGAATATTGTTGCTTTAATCCAGTGTATTTGTTCATAGAAAGCAAGACAAAGATGGAGTTCAGTAGAAAGCAATAGTAAAATGTTCTTAAATACTCTGTATTGCTACTATTTTGGAATTTACCCATTTATGAGCGCCAAAAATAAATTTTTAATGAAACAAATTAATCAGCTTTGTTGCTTCTTTATTCAAATCTCTTATATTTTTGCACAGAAACTGAGAAATGGTCCTTAAAACTCCAAGCAAAATCAGGAAAAGTTAGTATATCTGTAATATTTCTAAACTTGGTTCAAATAACTGAGATAAATCATAACTGCAGTTTCAAAAAGATTTAATTTTTAAATTTTTTTAGTTATAAATCTATTATCATTGATTTTTCTGTTTGCAATACTTTATGCTCAGCCCTAATTACCTATCAGTTCAGATCCTATGTTTTCTGGCTGGGTTTGTTGTCATGTGGGCCTCTGCTTGACAACTGAAAATGCTTAAACTGAGGAGGGGTTGAGTGACTTAGCGTGGCCGGCCTGAGGTGAGATGACCTCTCAAATCTCCATTGCTTCACTTACATTTTTTTAATTAAATCACCTATTTCATAGGATTGTTGTAAGAGATACATAATACATTGGAAAGTGCCTTACACATGATAGTCGCTCAATAAATGTTAGTTCTCCCTGTCATTACAGACTCATCAAAAAAGGGAGTTATTTTAAGAGCAAGACAGTAAGTTGGTTTCAGACTTTGAGGTAATAGTGTGACCTCCCAGTGGAAATTTCAGACAATTAAGAGATTCTGTTTCCAAGAATTATTTAAATTATGTACTCTGTGCCAATTATGTGACATCCAGCACTCAGGGAAGACTCAGGAATCATTGCAATAATTAAAATTGCAGAAAAAAAGAACAAAAGGCCAAAGAAAAATGACTGGAAGATGGAAACAGAAGGGAATCAACAAACAGGCAAGATCAAAGCCCTAGGAAAATCAGAGAGGGCAAGGCAAGGATGGATTTCAAGACTAAAAATCGGCTACTATATGGAAGTGCTTTGTAAAGTATTAAAGCACTATTTAAATGCTGGATATCACCGCCAAGGAGGTGATGATAAGGGATTTGGGGTAAGATAAATGTGATTCTTATCACTGCCTTGTCCAACATACCTTATTTTATAATTCTTTTTAAGAACTGCCTGAAAATAGGCCCCTAACCTGTATTTCATACCACCCCGTCTCATCACCGCAGTCCCTGAGATTCCTGACAGGCAACTTCTGGAAGGACCCGCCCCGGCTGGCCAGTCAGGGGCCATCAGCCAGCACTCTTCCTTCTGTTCAGGGACCTTCTAGGAAAAAGTACTCCCAGAAATAAAAATGTGGGGAAACATCAAGTATGGAAAAGTTCTACTTCTTCGTTATCCTTTACTAGCTCATTGCTGACTCTGAAATGGAAATCATTGCTGTGTGTATCTGGGAAGTTGAATATAATAATTAAACAAGCAAAACATTCATAGAGTTTTTAATCAAAGAACACAAGACTTGCAGATGTTTGGGTGGTAGGGAAATACTATGAATCCTGTATTTTAAATGGTAAAGCAGATTTAGACAGCAATTCATAAAAATCTATAAAAATCCCAAATGCCCAGAATTTTCTGCAGAATATCTGGTCCATTTCACTAAAAGTGGGGTCCTTGGAAGTGAGCCAACACATTTGCAAATAATAAAAAGTATAACTTAACCTGCACCATCCCTTACAGATATCCGGCATAGGTCTCTACAATGAGGAAAGGGAGAATTATACATATTATTGCTAGAATTTAACTTAGTATGCAAATTAGTTCTTAGATACTACTTGGAGCAAAAAATAGTTGTTAAACCTAAAACAAATCTGCAACATTTTAATAATTTGAATTCGGAAGCAGAAAACCCTGGCACTTGCACCCATAGAAAGCTTCTGGTTCTATAAATTAGTCTCCTAATTTTTCCATGGTCTTAAATTTCAAATTATATGTATTGAATTTGCTTCCTTGTAAAGAAGGAAAAAGTGCTTGGTAATTCGGGTTCATTTAGTCAGTAAATAACTTCCTCAGGCCATGTTGATGAATTAACTGTTTACTGGGAAGCAAACTAGTGCTGTAGCTAAGAATGAAAGCTATGAACACACGCTGACTCAGCATAGATCTTGGCTCCACTCTCTCCACTCTATCCAGCCAGATTTGGGGCTGATGACCTCCCTGTCTTAGTGATTCTGTTAATAAAAGAAGAATAAAAATATTACATAGCAATGATACACAATGAGAGAGTCATTGTGATAAGGAAGCATTACTTGTGAAGAACTTAGAATGGGCTCCTGGTACTCAATGGTACTGCCTTCAGGGTAGTTGCTCAGAGTTCTCTTTTTCAAACTCTTCAGATTTTAATTTATTCTTCAAAATGTAAATGACAAACTTCATAAAACAACAGCATTTTAATATATAAATTTAATTTACTATAATTTTAGTATAATTGCTTAAATTCTTTGTACCTTCATCTGGCCTGGAAGAAATCAGGAAGTTCTCATGTAAAAAGGTTTACTATAAATTAAATATATATTAAAGTGAAAAGGAAGAGAGAATATATGTTCATATATATATATAAAATAGAAAATACTGAGAAAGAAAAATTCAATCGTTTTTGTCTTTATACAGGCTTTGATCTTAACTATATTAAATTGTTTGGAGTATGTGGGTATTCTAAGGGCAAGCAGTATAAAAATTTCATGTTATATAGCTTGCTTTTTAATTGAGTGTGCAAGTGTTGCTTTATTTGATAAATACTCTTGCTTTTGTTCCAAGGAAGGGACTGATGTATGTTTTTAGGAAATTTTACTAATTTCTCATTAAACAATTTCTACTGGTACTCATCTCTGCCAGGTTAACTCAGAATGAGTTATGTTTTCATATAACCATGAATATTTTCTCATGATTTAAATTTTTGTTCTAGTGCTTACATAGAGCCGTTATAAATATATTCCTCTTGGAGCTGTACCACCTGGTATTTTAAACTCTTTTCTTCCTTACCAAAGAGGAAATTTTTAGAAAGTTACAGCTTCAAAAAATATCTGTGTGGTGTCTGACGACTGCATGTCCTATATACTGTTTTTCTATATTACAGATATAAATTCATAATAATAAAAGAATAAAAATTACTCATAGAAAAGAAAATTTTAACTATCAAAAATAAAATATTTTTAACTCAGGAAGGAAATATTTAGTATCTACTAGCATGAGATCTTTTGCTAAGTGTGTGTATTTTCCTAGAGCACTTGGCATAATATTAGATCCCAATAAGTTAGTGGTGAATAAATTAATGGTTCCTACTAGAGCATGTATCTTTTTTATTTTCTTTCACTAAAATTTCAGTGCTGAGACCATAGAATGTCCTTAATAAAAATGTGTGGCTTAATTAATAACATACCAAGTTCACTTGCTAGCTGAGCTTCTTTGACTATTGGAGGCACAATACTACAACCATTTGCTTAATTAGGGACCAAAAATTGTTGCTAACTTAAAATTCTTCTTATGGTTTTTCCTTTCATAAAGCTGAGGGAAGATGGGTTAAGATGGAATGGATGCCACTTAATCAGGCACAAGTAGCAAGAGCTGGGGAAAGCTGTTTAATGGCGCTCCACTTCCACATCACCATTCAGGTTTCAAAACGTAACATGTCCATCAGCTTCTCTGCCCCAACTTAATTAGGTAAGTAAGGCGTTCCATTCCACTCCAAAATACCTGGTGGTTTTTTTTTTTTTTTAAGAATTTTGTTTCTGTTTTTGTTTTTAAGTAATTAGACTTGATGGCTGTCCTTAGCCAAGAGGTCTGAATTTCACTCAACAAAATGGGTAACTCACTTTACAGTGTAAGTGCGGGCTTCTCACTTACCAGGGAGTTGCATTGACACGCAGAGTGAGGACTTACTCAGGGCAGAGGGCGGGGCATTGCACGGCTGGTTCAGTTAACCAGGCACAGCTACTCAGCCTCGCGCTCCTGGGTTGCCCGCATTTTGCTGGCATTGACAATATAGAATAGAAGATACACAGATATAGATATATAAACATGGGATAGGTATAGATGTTTTATTTAGTATCTGTCAGAACAGGCATTCCATTCTTATTCTGAAATGCAAGTGGTAAATATTAGTAATTTAGAAACTCAGTTCTTTCTGCCTACTTGTCTGCCATGGAATTTCAGAGGTAAAAATATCTGGTCTGTTCACAGGATTATAGAATTTGAATGAGAAATGAGACACTATCTAGTTCTAACATGGTTTTAAAATGCAAGGTTCTGCTCAGCATATCTTCACAGGTAAAATTGAGAGGTAACTGAAGATTTGTTAAGAGGGTACATGTCAGGGAAGTAACAAAGTCTAACAGATTTGTCTTTCTCGTCTGGCTACCTTCATTTCTCACAGTCAACTTTCTAACCATTACCTTCATGTCTGAGGAAATAGCAGCAGCAAGAAGACTGGTGGGGGAACAGGAAAAAAAAATGTGCAAATTAGTACATCACGGGAGAACCGCTGTGGCCCACTACCAACTGCACAACTACCAGCTCTCAAGACGTTCTAGGTCCTGGGTATAAAAGAAGGAATGGAAGAACAGGAAATCTCCAGGGGGCAGGATGTGATTGGACCAAATATCTAGAATGCAGCATGAAAGACAAAGGGTAGAAAACTGAAAGTGAATGAGAATTCCAACATATATCTAAATTCCTAAAGGAAAAAATGGAAATGAGGTGAGTTTTTAAGAGATAATGGATGAGAATTCTCCAGAAATGAAGAAATATATGAGTTTTCAAATTGATATTCTACACTAAGATGCAAGCAGGGTTATAAAGAAAAAAAAAAAGAGGAAAAGAGGGCTAAAAGAATATACCGCCACCAAACTAGCATTGCAAGATGTGCTAAAGGGTCTGCTTTGAGAAGAAAAAGAGTCTGATGAATATCCAGTTCCTTTCACAGTCACCAATACTTAATATTACCAAGATTTTTAATACTTATTAATCAGATTGTGACAATGACATGTTATTTTGTTACTTTATTATTTGTTGAAACTAAACCCGTTTTTGTATATTTCTTGCCTATTTCTATTATTTTTTAAAAAGCTTTAAA